GGAAACAAAACATCGAAAATTGCCTTAACAGAAGGAAACAGGAGGAGGTAGCAGAGATGCACATTCAAGAAAAATAACTGGTATTATCCTTGAGTTGTTGTATCATCTTGGATGGCACTTATGAAATTTGAGCTCATAATGTTCCATGCCTATCATTTGAATCATGTCTTTCTTGCCCAGGGCCCGGCATAGATCGTCTGGAAGCAGGCTGGACTTCGTTTTTGAAGCACAGCAAAGGGGATATCGTTTTTGACCAGTCCGAACAGAGCACCAAGAATAAGCGCCGTTTAGTCGAACACAAGCTTTTTGGACAGGTTATCACACGATTGACATGCTCTATCGTGCATGGCGGAAAGTGCGCGCGATTTGAAAGCAAGGCTTAATCAAAGAAATTGCTTGTTTACAGCGCACACAGAAGCTTATGACACCCGAATTGAACTGTATGTATGGAAAATTACTTGCGAAAGTATTATGTGAAAAGATTTGAAAACTTATGTGAAGTAGTACCTTTTCCAAAATTAGATCGTCTCCAGACCGCCACTAAACAATCTGAGATCGTCTGGAGCATAATTTTCGTCACTTCACATAAGTTTCGGATCTTTTTAACATGGACGGATTCCCCAATTAAAAATCTATCCCTGAGCATGAAGACATTTTCATATCGTTGCCTCTCCTTTGTTTTTTGCTTTCATTTCTTTTCGGTTTGTTAGATATGGCGCTCTAAGGCCAAAGTATCGTAGTATTCAGCTCCAATTTGGATTTTCACTCTTATCTTACTTCTTTTCTTTCTGACTAGTAAATCTTTCTTGCTTTCTTCTTCTCCTAAGCAGGTAGGTCAAAGAGGACTTCGTAAAACTTCCGAAAGTCAGGCGAGACTTCGTTTTCAGAAACCCTAGAAACCGACTCGTGCCGGACCCTGTTCTTGCCTGTTATGCAGCAACAGCATGGTTGTGAGGAACGTTAATTTTGAACGTTTATAACTCACGAATAGTCGAATGTCGCGAGGGTCGCGAGTAGAACAAAAAAGATAGTACCGATCAGAGTCAAGCGTGGGGTGTGGCATCCACACCTGGGGGTTCGTATTGAGGGGTCGGGGAGAAGGGTCGTTATCGAGGTGAGCTGATGTTAACGATATTCGTTAACAATGTCAAGGCACTGTGTAAAGTACTAGCACGTTGATGTTTTACCTTACCATCGTATAATACGTACAGTAAGCGTAATAAAAGAGCACTATAAGCATAAGAGCATTACTTTCGTAAGTCGAATGTCAAATAACTTTTGTTGGCCAAGTTTCAGCGAATTTTGAGGTTTCCAAATATTAGGGCATCAAGTGTGGTAGTCATTTTCAAACATGTTACCTTCGTTTCAAAGGGGAGTTAACTATAGGCGCCGTAAATCCTATTTGCCCGCGCCGTGCCTTGAACACCAGCGCAAGCGAGCGGTTGTCGCGAACGACTGTTGGCGTTTACTATATTCCACAAAATCTTTCTTTAACTTTCATGTTGTTCTCGTCAATGCAAGGCATATCTTGCCAAAAGCTCCCTTCAAAAGTTTAAAAAAATAAGTGTGGAAAGGGTGCGCGCTCATTGTCGCTCGCAAAAAGTGTAGCGCTTCGGGACCAAACGTTTCCAGCCGCGCCGCGCGTTAATGTTCAAAGCGGCCCGGCAATTGGATTTTACGGGGCCTGTACTTCTTTTTGCACTTATTACAAAGAACTACTACTTCTTTGCTCGCATTAGGAATCCCACTTCGAATAACATCCAAACTATGGAATTACATGCAAGTTAAAATCTCATTTGTTCCATTTTCCGCTTTCAATATCTCAGATTGGAAAGGACCCAGTCGGGCTCAAATCACTTTTATGTAAATTACGAAACTTAGTCTATCAAATAAATTTTTCCTCGTCTCCTTCTTTCGCGATTTACATAGGCGCGGACTACCGTGCTACCGTAATCCAATATTTTCGCAGCATTTTCCATTTGCATAGGCAAAGGAAAACGACTATTCTTTCCCTATAAGAAACGGATTCAAATAATTTTTTTATAGTGTGAAGAAGGAGGTTGAGCAATAGCAACGATATAAAAAACGCAGATATTTGAATGGTTTGAAGGTAAGTCAATGGAGGTGTGGCACCACTTTCAAAAAGCTGTGGCGGCCACAGCTTTTTAGGGTTGTGCCTCACCCCATTAAGTTACATCCAAAGGGAATTTTAGGAAGCAAATTAGGTACAATAGCAAAAGCCTCGTAGTTTCTGTGAAATTGATTAGTAATGAATTTGTTTTTTTTGCTTGAGAAATAGTTGGTGGAAGCATTTGGCTCTTAATTCTGTAGTTTGATGGTCATTTGGAGCAGGATTCATGGCATAGGCACATAGGGAGTAGTGCTTTGTATTGAGTACACGAAGAGATGGATAATTCGCTCTTGAAATACCAGCGCGTCACCTCTGCTTCGCAGAGGCTCGCACTGGCCCTACTTTCTGTATGCCGTACTCATTCCAACGTAATAACGACTTTGAAACTCACGCGCTAAGCAGGCCATCACGAATGATTTGTAAACAACTACTCATTCCGAGAGCTTTTTTGTGTGAGATCGGTATTTTCGCGTGGATGAAACTTCTCCGAGAAGAATGAATGCAAATTTGAACCGGTTTTTGAACTTCTTATGGTCTGGTAGTCGCCATAGCGACGATGATCACCGTGGGCTACACCTCTGTGCAAAAATCTTATTAAATGATTAGGTAAAATCTTGGCAAGTTGAACATTTACGCAACTAATTTTTTTCAACGCCATTTTCGTGAAGTAATCAACTTTAGTGCAGTTTTTGGGCTAAAGTCCATTGCGCATTAGCTTGTTAAACATATCCATGACTTTGCAAAAAGTGATGGTACAGGCCCAATTTTGCTGGCCAGAAGCCAAGTGGATCCATTTTGAGCGCAATTTTGAGGGATCTACTTAGCGGATCCGCTCGTGCTTTTGCATAGCGGACTTTCATGCTGCTAGCATGCGCCGTGCAGAATTTGGGCTCAAGAGGTTGGCTGGAACTCGCTCTGCGAATTTCGTAACGGACACACACACACACACACACACACACACACACACACACACACACACACACACACACACACACACACACACACACACACACACACACACACACACACACACACACACACACACACACACACACACACACACACACACACACACACACACACACACACACACACACACACACACACACACACACACACACACACACACACACACACACACACACACACACACACACACACACACACACACACACACACACACACACACACACACACACACACACACACACACACACACACACACACACACACACACACACACACACACACACACACACACACACACACACACACACACACACACACACACACACACACACACACACACACACACACACACACACACACACACACACACACACACACACACACACACACACACACACACACACACACACACACACACACACACACACACACACACACACACACACACACACACACACACACACACACACACACACACACACACACACACACACACACACACACACACACACACACACACACACACACACACACACACACACACACACACACACACACACACGCGTAAAGCCCGTTATTATAAGTCATGATAGTTAGTCATGTTTGCAAATGCCCACGACATCACTTAGGTGGCTTAATATTGGGAAACCTCAGAATTCGCACAAACTTGGCCCGCAGGGATTCTTTGACATGATAATCAAAAACATGTTACTAATTATGTTAGGTAAAGCCCTTATGTCATGCCTACGGCAGGCAAACGAAAATGGTTGGGGGGGAGGGGTCGTATCCGGCGGTTTGTTTGCCACATCTTTTGCTCAATCCTGGTACCAATGGAAAGAAGAAGAGAAGCTCTCAAAAAAAGTCTTAGAAGTTCAAATTTTCTTCAAAAAAGGTGTGAAAGATGTGCCTAGATTAGAGTTACTTTATGTATAGTTGTCATTACTAAAAGCACGAGTGTCAGCGAGTACAGAGGTTGTGAGGAGAGATGACATTTTATTGAAGTGCCTCCGTCTTCCTCGACTACATTCTAAGTAAGTCACCGCTTTCATGTAAAAATGTCACCGCTCGTGAACTTCCTTTGACGACAAAGAAGAAGAGCAATCTATTTGCGTAAAAACAGCGAAAAAGAAGTTAGCAAATAGCCTCTTAAAAACTGTAGGTATGCCTAGACTTAATTTCTTCGAGCAGAGTGCAAAAATTCAGCAAACAAGTGTTTTTCGGTGCCCGTCTACCGCCGGCGAATGTGATAGAGCTTATGCGGCAGCCGAGAGACGGCTAGATAAAAACGCTGCTATACACTTTGGATCTGGTTCCTTACATGCTTTACATTTAGTTTTATTGTAGGAAGCAGCCACGCAGCAAAAGTTTTTCGTTGAAATTAGTGCTTTCGAGTTTACATTTTTCATATATAAAAGATCGCTGTATGCTGTTAGCTACGGTAGCTTGTGTCATCTGTTCGATTTCTTCTGAAAGATCAAAACGTGGCATGTTTAAATCTTCTCTGTTCTATCAACATGTGCACACTCAGCAGCTTCTTGCTGGATGTCATGTTTGAATAGTAAGCAAACGATCGCAGAAAACGACTTTCTATGATGTGGTGATTTTTTATGCGTTGGAATCAAAAATGGTGTTGCTAAGGGAAGGGAACGAAGAAGGAGATAGCATGCGAAGAACTGACGTTTTTGCTGAAACGCAGGAACCCGAGAATTGCTAGTTGGTAATGTAATCATGAACTAAGTAGCTTTCACATGGCTTGCGTTGTGGTATTACGTCGCAAATTTCTATCATAATAAGCGTTAGAATAATGATGAGAAGAAACAAAGACTGTGACGAAAGATGCCATGTGGTGTAAGGCTATTTGTGCAACCGGTATCTTAGTCTAATTTTACGCAATTTACAGGATAGAATACACGGGAAACATAGACTTCATTATCAAAGCCGATCGTCTACATGTCATGCATGATTTTAAGGCAAGGATGTTCAGCCTTTTGCTCTTGTTCGTTCAAATAGAGATGTGCCACATTTGTAGGCTGGAGTACCCCGCACCGCTTACAAAGGTGTTGTTACATGCTTTACAAATGGAGTTCGATTATTTCTGGTTCCTGACAGAAGATACGTCAAGGATTATGATAAACAATGGGTGGTACCAAAAAAGTTTGGCGATTAAGTTTAGATTTCTATCACCACCTTCAATTAGGTTTTTTGTCTCGGGTATATGAAGATCTGCACCACAGTATTTAGCTGTCTCACTAGCTAATAACTTATCTGTTAGTGATGGATTTCACTGCCTGTATCTGGTGATCGCCCCAGAAGCTTGCTCAGCAAGACTTTACGGTAATATATTTTAGACCTAATTTCATTTGTATTAGAAGGATGACCTAATATGTTGTATCCTTTATCAAAATCATTTCGGGCGTATTTGTCTATTTTTTTCGATGTTGCCGAACTCATTCCTCCTGTGATATTCACAAATTCTTGATCATCTTTTATCATCCTTGCCAGGCGCTTCTCAGCGGTACACGTGTGCCTTTCTCTAGTCATTCAACTTGTATTTAGAACTTTTTGTTGTATTCTGGGTATTGAATGAATTTGCT